ATAGACCCATTAATTAATGATCTGTGAAGACACTGAAATATATACAAACAAAAATTACACAGAACAGCAATATTCTGTGTAAGCAGACCAGGGTTGCAATAAGTGGATTGGTGACAATGGGTAGCAAATTAAGTTTGCAATAGAAAAGCAATACTATTGGCATCCCTATGAAAAAGCCATCTCAAATGAGGACTACTATTCCTTATTGAAAATATTTGAGTATTTCCAGGAATACAGTGTATAGTTCAGACCAGTTTGTGTCCCAAATAGTAATGAGCAGTGTTTTAGGCTTCTACTTTAGATACAGGCCACCTAAATGTTAGAAGGTTTCTTAGTGAAGTGCAAGAAACGACATTATTTGAAGGCCTGGAAATGGGTAATCAGGTAGACTTCCTCTATCTCTAAATTCTATAGCACTGCGAGTAATATGAGTGGGAACAGAGAAATTTACTGTGAAGCCACTAATGATAAGGTATTCAGCCAGGAAAAGGAAGGAGAAAATCATGTGCTGTGTTGAAAGTAATTTGGATTTATGCAGAAAAGTATTCCTCTTACGTATAGTCAATGCAATATGTATTGAAAAAGACAAAGAAGTTTAAGCAGAATAGCAAAAACGCTGGGGTGTCCTGTGCCAGAACAATGTAGCCTCCAAGTTAGCAGGGAACAAAGGCAAAAAAAAGCTTTTACTTAAGTCAATTGGAGAGAATAACAAAACAAATTGTTTCAAGTATGGTCATTTAGTGCACAATTTGCTATATAATAGCTAAGGCCAATTCTCTTCTCTCCAGATTCCTTCTGAAGAACCCAGTGAAGCACCACGGCACTGCCTGGCCCTCTGCATCTCTGGAAAAAGAGGCAGCAGTTTGAAAGCAGTGGCTCTCACACTGTTAGGTGAAAGGCGTGGGTTTGAGTGGTCACTGTTCACAAGGATTAAGATAATGTCCCATCCACTTCTTCAGCTGACATTTGAGATTCGATTAGACCTGTCGAGGTCTGTCAATTTAACAGTTGCCCATCTTTTCATTAAAAGAGACATCCTCAGTCGTGAAAAGAGCGTCTAATCAAGTACCATATTGGAAGTATGTTGTCAAAAATAATTGCTTTTTGTAATAGCTGAACATCATCTGATAAAATAGGTGTTTTTAAAACAAATATCTTGACAGATGCAAACCATACTATCTTTGAAGAAGGTATCTGGAGATTGACCAGACAATTAGAATTTAATTGTTGTATTTGTTAACCTTAATTTAGTCACAGAGCACGTACTGGATGCCACTCCTTGATTTAAAAAAAAAAAGTAAAGAAAAACAAAGTGGTTTGACACCATATTACAACATCAACCGAGCGCTCAGGAAGTTTTACTTTGTGTCTGTGTTCAGGCACGCTGAATCTGTCTTAATATTTGCCACTGGCACTGGTTCTCTTGGCCAGAGATTCATTGTCCCTGGGACAGTTTTTCATCCTCTGGCTGAAAGCTCATCTTTTGCCCTACGACTGGCATGTCTCACACAATAATAATAGATTTTACAACACATCCCCCCCTCTCCACATAATGTCGATGCATCCTTCTTATCCCCATAACATGTCTGGTAGCAAGAGCATCTCATCTGTGTACACAAGAGAAAGTATGAACTGGGCTACCAATTGTCCTTGCAGGTGAGGCCCTGGGGAAGGAAAATTAAGACTTAATGAAACTTAAGGTACCTCAGGAGATCTGTCCAAGCAGACAGTGTTTGTTTAAATAATAGCATATACTTGGGATTACAGGACTTGTCTTGATGTGGACCTATTGGTGAGACCAGACCTCTACCTTTTTCAGCAGGCTTTGAGGAGCATTACAGTAACAGTGGTGACAACCTCTATTTATTTTACCTGCTGCTTTGGGACAAGGAAAATCATGTGCGTTTGACATGTTGGTAATGAATTTCTTTTGTACCAGGCAAATGCTGTAGAAAGTCTCATGAAAACATCCTAATTAACGAGTGGATTTGAGTAGACATACAATCTCTAAAATATCAGAAGTTCCACTCAATTTAATGTACATCCAGCAGCTCCCAAGAGAGTGTTTCAAAATCACTCAGCTTCTGTTTAGCAAAATGGGGATGAGCGTAGGGGCTCTGAAGGACTGTAAATGAAAGATTACTTAACTCTGAGGGAATTGTCTGAATCCTGAATGTTTTAAAGCAAGCTTCTTTCTCGGTAGCTTTTTTAAACGTGTGTAAAGCAGATGTTCATATTGTGCAGAGCCTTCCACAAGCCTGTTCAAATAGTCAAACACCTTTTCAAGACCTGTCAGGAAGTGCCCTGTGAATCTGATCCATGCGATGCAGGTGTTGAAACTACATGAAAAGTGGTTGTCTGGTTAAAGTAAAGATTCCAGTGTGTTTTCATTTGAACATTCATTTCTCTTTACACTCAGGATTCCCTGAAAAAGGAAGGTAAAAGTAAAAGTATTCCTTTTTAAAGAGACATGAGTTATTTAAAAATTCCTGTGCACTAAAAGCAATCAAATTACCTTAACTGTATCACATTTGATGATTTAAAAAGAAAACAAATTTCTTTTTAAAATGCAATCCTTGAAATCATCGAATAGGCAAGCTGGAGCCAACGGGAAGCTCCTTGCTGTGTACAGCCCTGCCTTAGGAATCAAATGTTCATGGCCCTTTTCACACAGCTTCGTGAATCTTACAGTACTTTGGAGAGATTCAGTGTTGGCAGATCTGTATATCTGCATAAAATGTCCCTGAAGTCTATGGGACATTGGTGATGGGCATGTCAAAATGAATCAGATTATAAAACTGTGGTTTAAAATGGGAAGATGCTACGGGCTGGTCCTTGATTGCCTGATCTCTGCCTGCTGCATGCTAAACAGCTTCTCTGAAGCCAGGAGTCTTGGCTCAGTGGTACTGTGATTTTGCTATTTTTTCCCTTTGCCTCATAAAAATTCTCATATACCAACTAGTCTCTGCTCAGGAGGGATTATCTTTTTATTATGTGCAGTATACATATCAAGGCACAGATTTACTAGGAGAAAAGAACGGGATCTTTAGCCTCCCTCCTTTCCCCAGTAGCAACAGCCTTTTGGCAAGGACAAGCAAACTATCAGAGGATGGTTTCCTCCCGTTAACTTGCAGGTGGAGGCTGGGAACACGTTAGCTGACCAGCTCCCCTAACACACGATGGGGCCGCGCAACTCTCCCAGCTCCCCATCTGTCAGGTCACAGCTCTGTCCACTGCAGTGCTTTTTCCTTCATTATAGAAAAGAAGCAATCACCCGGTAGGTGTTTTGATTGTATCTAGGCCACCACAATTTTTTACCTCCTTCAGAAACCTTTCTTCTAATGCAATATATTTCTGTGTCCCTAAAGATACCCTTTCTGGAAGCGTCACTTCTTGAATTGCTTTTCAGTAACAGGTTTGGTTTACAAATCTCGCGTAAAGACGCACACACCCGACAAACCCTGCACAAAACAAAGCTGTGTGTCAGGGGCTCTTTTGTAACTGCAAAACCCGTTCAAGCTGCAAGAGAGAGCAGTATCCTGCTTCGCCGGTGGGGTGGGAAGCGCGGCGGAGCGACAGCTTTAGCAGAGCTCCCATTTGGCGGAAGACAAGCTGCAAGCTTTTTGCACCTTCTGTTAAACCTGCTGAGAGGGCACGAGAGCCTTTCTTCTTTAAAGCATGTTTGGGAAGAACTATTTGACATAACAGAGATTGTTTATGGAAAAGGTTTTCTAAGCAATTAAACTGCTTTTTATACTCTTTAGTGAATCCTTTCCAGGAGCTTTTTCCAGACAAGTGTTGCTACAGATTAGGCTGTATTACGGAGTGCTCCAGCAAGAACAGCTTTGACTGGTGTTTGGGCCAGAGGCACTCACAGCTCTGCTCCCGACCCCCGGCCAGACCCCGAGCCTGTCCCCTAAACAGCCTGTCCCTTTTTTAATCTGTTTAGGGATGTTAACTTCAACCTACCTTGTAAAGGTAGTATGGAGTTTAATTTACAAATATGAACTGGGTGTAATGTGAGATTATTCTGTTGCTTAGCGTAGGAGAAGATGACAGACTCTGAAAGGTAATTTGACTGTATTAGTAGGCTTACAGTACCTGGTGATCACTTTCTTAATTTTCGTGCTAAAGGGAAGGGAAGATTTCTGGTTTTCGCCACCCCTCCTCCTTTCTGCTCTCTTCCCCTCACCTGCTTGGACAATTTTCAGGTCCATGGGGTGAAGGAATAGGATTTTAGTTTACTTTTGGCAAATCTTTGGAACTGAATTCTCGATTCAGTGCTGTACTGAATCTCTAGCCTTGGGAGATCTGAAAAAACTTAAGACTTGCACCAATATACTCTGATCATTCCTGCCACAGCCAGTTAATTTTTCTTTCGTGATGCTTCTCCTAACACTGTTGACTTTCCTGAATGCCAGGTACGATCTTTAACAACATATATTAATATTAATTAACAGCACCTTCTCAGTTCAAGACCATCTCTGTGCCAGTCCATGTGCAGGACGAGTTCCTAATGACCTGGTACTTGAGCCATGACACTTCAGCCTGACAAGTTTTTAATTCTCCTCAACAGCTGTATCATTGTTGTGACTTGCATATGTGCTTGAACTCTAGTTTTAAAAGCCTTTGGTTTGACGTGAGCTGTTGTTGTAGTAAGTAATTTTTATCAATGGGCTTTTGTTTCTTTTTCATTGCCTGATGAAAGAGACATTTGAGGCATTTGGGCTTACATTTTCTAGGTACTGAAGAAGAAATAGTTTTTTCCTGAAGCTCAGTAGCTGGGTGTTTCAAGCATTTCTTCTCTGTTAGCACTGGTATATGTTAGCATTCTCATTTTGTATAGCACAAATAAGCTTAAAGTTACTCTCTTAAGTGAATGAGTGTGTTTTGTCCCCAAAGCTCAGGATTCCCGTGCTTTCCTTCCTAAGATACATCCTTTTAGCTTAGCTTTGAGCTTAACTAAGTCAATGCTTAATACAGTATTCTTTTAATTCCAGTCCTACATGGAAGATCATCTGAAAAACAAGAATCGTCTGGAGAAGGAGTGGGAAGCTCTGTGTGCTTATCAGGCTGAACCCAATGCCACCACCGTTGCACAGCAGGAGGAAAATACCCAGAAGAACCGCTCACGGACTGTAGTACCATGTATGTACACTTTAATTTGGATGATTGCCTTTTAAGTTCTTGATACTTTTCTCAATATCCTTTGCACAGTGATTTGAAAGCTACAGATGACAGGCAGACAGAATATGGAGTAGCTTGTATGCGTACTAGAAAACTAGCTACAGCTATGGGCTGGGTGCATGTCCTCTTGTCATATCAGACACTGTTTGTCTCCTTATAAGTTGCATATATGTTACAAAAATGCATAACTATGTCACACAGCACTGCTGCTGCAGCTGTGCTGTCTCATGAAATTCAATAGCCAGAGTGCTTTTCAGTGCTGGAATATACTTTCCGTACAAGAGTGGCATCTGTAGCCATTCAACAGAAAGAAGTTTGGCTTGTGTTTAGACAAGTTGGTAGCATGTCCATCCAACAGTAATACCAGCAGTCTATAATCAGAGCTAGATGATCTGTTTATCAGATACTCAGCTGTACTGAATGAGCCCCTTTAGGCTTTAGTGGATAAGCTTGCAAACTGGCTTCTCTCTCTGCTAGGCTTAGGATAAAAAGAGAAAAAGAAAAAAAAAAGCAGCCAGTGTTTATATTCCTAGAATCTGCTCTTGCCTGTAAGCAGCCACCTTTCTGAGCTTGAAATAAAAGCAGCATATATTTCCTATGCAAATATATGTATCTCATAGATTACATTGGTAATCTATGGCCACACATTTTATTAAGCAACCAATGAAACAAAACTGAAACTGAGAATATATGCACAGTCCACAGCAACAAAAATGCTCGCAGTCAGTGTGCCCACAACCCAGCTGGGTAGCTTGGCAAACGTATATAGCTATTTTAATTTTTAAAGTGCCCTGAAAACATTAATTTTCCCTATGAGAGCCTTGAGTAAGTACTATTCCTCCTTTGGAAATGAGGAATGACAGGTAACACGTTAAGTAAATGTCAGAGTCAGATTTAGAGTGAAGATTCTTTGGAAGTACATGATAATTTAACTGAGCCCATCAGTCCTTGCCTATTTGCTTCAGCAGTATTTGGCTCTCTTTTTTATGTAGTGGCTTTTTTGCAATACTTTGCTGCTTAGGAGAGGAGTACAATAGTTCGGTGATATGAATTCTCCTAAGTAAATGTGGCGCTGGTGGAAAGCCTTTTGGGGCAACAGCAACAGTTTGCTGACTTGTGTTTTGGGATCAGGTCTGTTAAAAAGTTCTAAAGAAGTCACCATGAAAGTTAAAGGAGTGCAAGATTTCTGTGCTCTTTTCCATCCTGAAAAAATAGCATTTAACCATTATGACAGGAAGTGAAAATTGCTTTGTGATAATGGGTCTTGATCCAAGTTAATCTTCCTGCTTAAAGTGTTCTTTTCAACGTGGACTTACAGTCAGACCATCTTAAGCTATTCCAAGTCCGTGCTCATAAATTAAGCCAGATTGTTTCTGGTTGCTGCCTTGGAGACAGCATGGGAGCTACAGGTGTTGCCAGATATTGCTGCTGGTTATTCAGCTGATGTAGGAAACATGTCTGCATGATACAACGAGCAATAAGATAGGGACCCTCAGACTAGAGCGCTCTAGCTCTGAATCCAGAAGTAACATAGCTGCAGCAGTCCTAAAGAGCAGAGATTTTTAGCTTGTGTGTCATACCACACTAGAGAGCTGAACTATTTTCAGAGCTAAGATAGGCTGTCTCTTTTTATCATATTGTACCATGTGGATGAATCAGCCTACACTAATAAACCTTCAGCTGAAGAGTCTCTACCATTGCTTTTTCCATGGCACATTGTTATGCCTGTTCTTCCTGTTCTTCTGTTCTATCGCCAAGTCTAGACTGAATCGGTACTACCTGGGAAGGTATTTGGACATGGACAAGGTGGCTGCAATTTATCTGAAGCTTTAATTAGAAGTATTTTATCACATTTAAAATCCCTTAGTACTTTTACAAGAGCAAAATGCTACTTTTTGGCTTTGTGACAATGTGGAAACTTCTATTATAGCTATTAGTGCACTGGGAGCTTTCCTTTTTGACTGAATTGCACAAAATTACCTGCCCTCACTTTCTGAAGTTGCTGCGCACTGTTAAACAGTCATGTTATATCCTTAAAACTACTTTGATGATGGGTGGAAAGTGTGGCATAGAGTTTAAACAATATCAAATTTTGGTAAGGTGATGGTTATTGTAGACTCTCAGATTAGACTGAGATGAGAAAGAGCCCAGTTTGCCCACTTTTTTTTGACTATGTTTGACACTAAATCTATAACAAAAAGTCACAGATTTGCTTCATAATGAATGAAGAAGCAATGCTCATACGGTTTTAATATGCTACAAAGTTGTTATGCCGCATTCAAAGTATTCTCACAGAGTAATGCCTTGTTAGCATTTCCTTACCCCATTCATATTCATAATCACCTTGACAGGGTGGAACAAGATTGCCAGTTCATGTAAAAGATTTCACCTTAGGGAGGCTTAAAAGAAGCTTTAATATCATGTTGCATTTACTTTGCATTTTCCTTTCTTAAGCAGTCTTAAAACAATACAGTTTTATTTTTTTGCTGATTATATAACTAATTTCTAGATTAACGTTATCTTTAATCTCACAATTTTATCATAGATTTACTTTTATACCTATCTTCTCTATTTACAAACAGCTTTTAAAATACTTGGTAGCAGAACACCTTAACACTGCACTTAATGAATTACTAGTTAAAAAAATTCTGACTGTTGAAGTAACTTGGACCTTCTCGATTAACAAAACTGCATCCTTTTATCCAACCAACAAGCAGATTGCTATAATTTAGCGCAATGGGATACCTTTTTTCCGTATGAACACATGAGCAGCTCTATTTGTTGACGTCCAAAAAAAAACTTTCCAGACTTTATTTTCTCTTTTTGCATCTTTGCAAAATAAAACCATCTCAATAGGGTCAATACTGTATGTTTTTATTTATGTATACCATAGATACATCTAGGTATTTTAAAAATTTAGCAAACAACTTTTTGCAGTGGTCATCTGTCAAAAGCTGTCTACTATAGCTGCGTCCATGAGTCATGGCATATATTAGAGCAACCTACTTACCTCTGTGCTTTGGTTTTCCTCCAAAGGAAAGCAAAGCATTTGGGGGCAGAGTGTGCCCCCAGCTCTGAGGTTTGTGTGCTGACGATGGGACTGCCTGAGCAGAGGGTACTTGCTCTGGGTGTGTGCATTATCCATATCAGTAATGCATGTACAAATAGTGCTCTGGCATAAATGAACTTGATTTCCGTTCAGATCTAAGAAGAGCTCTGTTTTGTCCAGATAACCTATGGGTAAAATAATCAACACATTATGATTCTTCGCAGTCATCAGACTGCTCCACGTTTGCTCCTCAGTACTTCTTCACTTTCTTACTTCAGTGTAGTTCTGCAGAGTGCTTTGTATGGAAAAAAAAGTATCAGTCTAAATCTAGAAGGAAGAGAATGATGATCTGGGCAGAATGTGCCAGGCTGATAGTTGTGAGGTTCACTCTGCTGTGTGATGCCTAGATTCAGACAACCCAAAGCCGCCCATATTCCTTGTTTGCCTTTGTTTGTTGGTTCTGTTCCTTCAGAAGTATCTGACTAAAGGGAAACAGAAGACACAGAGAATTAGGTAAGATGTGAGTCTTACTTTTCCAAGCTTTCAATCCCCATCTGAAAAACAACAAAAGTAATAGATCTTAATTAAGTCGTAGGGCTACTGTGAGATAAATAGAAGACCGTGAGATGGCATAATACTGTAGTACTGGTCACTGTTTAAATAATCCAGATAGATACGACGTTTTGCACTCAACTCCGTCATTTAAACACAGGAATCCAGTGCCATTTGAGATGCCTGAAGTATTCAAGGTACCCACACAGAGCTAGTAGGTGTAACACAAGCCCTGTGGGAGACCTGTGCCCTCCCAGCTGCTAGCCTGAGTGTCCTTAGGGCACCTCAGATATCACTAGAAGCCTACACTGAGGCATTGAATCAAGTTCTCTGGGCATGATTCTCTGAAATCGTAGACTAAGACGCCTAAATTTAAGTGTCTCCATGTAGCTGCCTCCATATGAGCCAGGTGTCAAAGCACCCATTACAGCCAGTGAAGAGCTAGTCAGTGCAGTGGCATCAAGAGAGCTGTGCAATGGCCAAAAGTTGCTCTTTGGTTTACAGTGAAATTAATAGCTCTAGGATGCCCTCATATATCCTGTGCGAGCTTCAGCTGCTCGTCCAACAGCGTACAAGTCTTTACGTCTTGTGTCATATGTGTTCTCCTTGTGCAGTGTCTCATCTACTCTACCATTTCTCAAACAGTACACGTTCATGTTTAGCCAACTAAATCAAGCTCCATTAACTGTAACCTAACCCACATGAAGACATCTGTATGTAGACACCAAAACTTAGGTTTCTCAGTCTATAAATTAAGTTTTTATATACTGCAGACTCATGTGTGTTTGCTTTATATTTTGTCCTTTATCCTCTATCCTTTATACTTCATAATTTATACTTTATATTGTATACTGTATATTTTATATGTATATAAAATACAACTGTGCTATGTTTCTCCTCAGCTATAGGTTAGTACTAGCCTTCTTGTTGAGGAAGCATTTCTCTGCCATACATATTCATCTATACATTTTGCTTTTCTTTCAGCTGTGGCTTGGCTGGAGCAATAGCAAATGCAAACTAGTTCAGCATTCAGCAGCAGCTATTGTAGATATTTGAAATGATGACTAGCTGTAGCTTGGCCAGATTGCGGTAGCTAGTAACAGCATTTGTCTTTTCTCTCACTTCCTTATTACTGTCCCTCTCCTCTCCTCTTTCTTCATTCATCTTTCTTTCTTGCTTTTTAGATTGATCTTATATATCTTCGTTTTCTGTCATCCCCTTCCTTCCTTTTATTTCCTGCTTCTCCTGCTTCTCTTTTCTTGCTTCTAACATAATCAATATGCAGTTCACCAAAAAAAATCTTGTACATTGGGCATTTTCCCCATAGTTGCTTATTGTTAACATAACAAACTGGTGTCCATGGTATCCTTTTTTTTTTTCTTCTTCTGCCTGTTTCTGAAGAGCTGTTATGCTAGTTCCTAGAAGCTTTGAGGTGATAACAGGCATAGACAAGCACAATCTGTTCATTGTCAATATGAACGCTTGATGCTGCAACTGAAGCACACATGGGTGCAAACTCTTGATATATGCAGAAAACACATGTACAACCTTTTTTGCGCACTTTTTTTTTCCTGAGTGCAAATACAAAGTCTCACCACCTTCTCACTACCAAAGCCTTAACATGTCTCACCCTCTGATAAACCTTCCAAGACAGCAGGATAATGATATGGCACACTAAATCAGAGGGTCTGGGTAAAACATTATGTTTTTAAAAAAAAAGATCCTGAAGTTAGTGATCTGACACTTGACTTTTACTGGAGAATCACACTGACAGCTGTTTGCTAAATACTGATGAATCACTGTCTGCTCTCTTTCCCTCATCCATTTGAAAACATTTCACACATTTTCTTTGGTGATTAGTTCAAACACTTTTGCTCTCCAATGAATGGGGCTTATCCTGAGTGCTTACTTAGCTTCAGATACGTGAGAGACCGTATTTAGCGCAGGTAACCTGCATATCTCTTGCATAGCCAAAAGGTTTCAGAGCTGTAGTTCCTCAAGCACTCTGTGACAATGTTCGTTGTAAATCTTCCTATAAAAAATCTTGGGTAGCTCCAGGATCTCAGATGTCACGAGCTCTTTTGGGTTTTTTTGTGCAGTGGTGCCAAAGTAAGATGGAAGTGGTTATGTGCATGAATGTGTTCCCTTTCTCATTTTCTTCATCCTCCCATTGTGTTGAAACCTTACTAGAAGAAATAATTTTATGTGCATAGTGAAGAATGTCTCTTCATTCATTTGACATGACTTGTTCACCTCTCATCTCATTCCAGGAGAAGGTTGCTCACTTTGGTGGGTTAAATATTGCTGATGAGATTGAGTGACTATAAACAACACTCCTACAAGCACACCTTTGTCTTGCTCGCATATTGAACTGCCATGATATTACTGGTGAATAAACCTAAGCAGAGCCCAAACCCTCTGTCTCTACTTTCCTGTGTGGTACTTAAAATGGTTGGTAACTAACTCATTTATTGTTCTTCTAATGGTTTAAAAAGCCAACTTGGAATTCTGCTGTTAATAAAGGTGTCATAGCCCACTAGACAAGATACAAAGGGGGACAGGGTGTATTCCTGTACTCTTATTTTGTCTATTTGAATAATTCGTGGAAAGATCCTCTCAAAACATCAGTATCCATGTTCAACTGTAGAGGGTTACAGAATGGGCACCTCCACGACCTCTCACCACAATACGCTGTGCAGGGTAGGTTTGCTGAGAAGTATAAGTTGTGCTGGTTATGTATCGGGTACAAGTTGTTAGAGATTCCTATGTAGACTTAGACATCTCTCGCATAAATTATCTGTGTGTGGTCTGGTCTTTCTTTCTTTAGTCAATGGAAAGAAACAGGCACTTCTCAAGTGCAACTTGGCCTGTTTGAGACAGCTAAATTGGGATGAGATGATTCATGACATAGAAATATTTATTTTCTCTTAGCAGAAAGTGGATCTAGGTAGCTGGAAGAGAAGCAGGCATCTGCATTGTCACTGTCTAAATACAGACAAATAAAACCCATCCTTTACATATGTCCTGAAATAAAAAAAAAAGGACAAGAGTTTGGGGTGTACCAGCTCTAAACACAATTAAGCTAGCACCAGTAAAAATACACGTTAAAAAGTGATAAAAGAATCTTGACAATGGGCAAACAACATGAGTAAGTCTCCTATGTCTAGAGCTGCTGCTTTCTTTACTGGTGGTGTCTGAACTAGCTACATTACCAGCAGTGCAAGGTATCTATACATGCTCCAGACATACTTTTAGGTGCAGTTGTTACCGGCATTTTCTCTCTCCCACAATCATCTCCAAGTCATATTGTCTCCCCACATCACTAGCACAGCACCACACAGCACTGGTTTTGATCAGGACAGATTACTTTACTGTCCAGCTCTCGACTGTACTTCCATGTTCATTTTATAGAGAAGCCAGATGGACAAAGTCCATCAGTTTACTTCTTCCATGACCCTGCAAACGCAGGAGTGTTTTCTATAATATGTTTTTTACTAGTGATTTGCCTAGTTTAAATCTTAAACTCCCTGAGCAGTAGAGATTCCCCTTTTTCCTCTGAGAGGTACATCTCATGAAGACATGCTTTCTGATACTCAGCCTCTGATGCTCAGCATCTTAGTGCTTCATTCCTGAGTCAGGCTGTGACGCTGTGGCTGTATCAAGGCTATGCTAGGTTGGGAGTCAGAAGGAAATATCCTTTCTCATATTTACCATTTGCCTGCCTTGAAATGCACATTAATCTGACTTTGCCTTGTTTAACCTAAAATGGGTAGAATACTTGTATAGAAACTTTCTTCTCTTATTTTCTCCTTTGCAGATGATCATTCCAGGATATGTCTGAAAGGTGAAAATAGCCACGACAATTCAGACTACGTCAATGCTAGCCCAATTGTAAGTACGGTAACCTATGAGAAATAACCCAAATAGTCATTCCCTGTCTATCCTTGTTGTTAAATTATGCTAAATTGAGGCACCTCACTGCTCAGATTGTGCAACCTCAGATTGTGAGCAACTCACAACTCTGATGGCTCAGGCTGTCCTTTCAAACTGAAGAGAAATAAATCTTCTACATGTGCATGCAATACCCTTGAAGTTTATGTACTAAGAAAAGAAAGTCACTAGATAGTCATCGTTCTACGCTGTAATACTGTCAGGTTTTCTGTACTTAATGTTATTAACTTATGGATTATAAAATTCAATGATATACCCTTAGCGGAAATTTTCCTTCCCTGAGGAGGTAAAACTTGCTTGTTCTTTTTTTGCTTTGTCCTACTAGCTCCAGTCGTAGGAGGAATAGTTTCTGTAGGCATAGGGAGCTGAGCTCCACAGGCTTCTGAACTGCTCCTGCATCAGGAAGGGACATTTCGTCTTACTTTTCTTCCTCTGTTGCCCTATCGATGCATAGCTCGGTGTTTCTGTAGCTCTCCTGGTTCTTCTCTGAGCTTGCTGTTTTGAAAGCAAGAACGAGATCCCTTACCACCTGTGTATTCATTCGAACTGCAAAATAGGTCAACCCAATTTTTGCCTCTGAATACTCCAGTGTGGCCCAGCTGCCCTTTCTCACTCTACATAAGCTGAATATTCATCCTTTCTTATCTGTAAAAGGTGATTGGGAGAAAAGGTCTCTATTTTTAGACATGAAACAGGTATGATAGAGCCAGTAGCATTGCCCTGTCATAGCGTCTCAATGGAAGTGCCATGATATCCATTTGAAGGGGGAAGAAGGTACTGTGCTCTTGACCTCCATGAGACTGCTACTATTGGAGTCACTTTTGCTCATGGTTCTTATTCACATTAATTAGGCACTAAAAAGTTATTGTAGGGAAACTATGAGAAAGAACTTAGGATGGAGAATTAGATCGCACTGCAGTGGGCTGTGTATGCCATTACTGGCTCATTTTCCTGGGGAGTATCACTCCCCCAGTTAAATCACTTTGTGTGGGCAGGGCAGCTGACAATTTGCAACAGCATGAAATTACAGGCTGCTTCGCTCCAATGTTGTTGACAATACTTTTTTTCTTAAAAAAACCCACAACTACATAGAAACTGTTCTCTGAGCTTTGTTTTTATTACTTTCAGCAGAGTTCAAAAGCTTTATTGAACATACAAAAATATTTTATTCAAAGAGTTAAAAAATACATAGAACCCAACAAACATCTTTGGGATGCTTTTGGCTTTGGCTTAGGGTAGAGGGGAAACCAAAGCACCTGCACACTTCAGGACTTGCCAGCTGCCATTTTAGAGGACAGGAGCAGATGCACACAGATTAAAGCAGGTTTTGGACTACTTTTAACTATGTCTCTGACTAGACCAAGCTCTAGCTGGCCCAGTATCAGGAGATCAGAGTAACTTGGTGCTTCAAGGAATATGTATCCTGCTTGTAAAGTCATGCGCAGAGGTCCAGCTCCAGGGCTTCAGTGCTCTGTTTCCCTGTCTTCAGGGCACATTCGGTGAGTTATGTTTGGTCAAACCTTAATTTGATAGTAGAAGCTGAGAGGTTTTGTGGCAAGCACAGGAGTAGGAGGTGTTAACTGGAAGTGAGATACTGTATTCTTGTAAGAGCTTGGTTGTAATTCGCGTGACTACAACATGGTGCAGAAATGGATTTACAGCATCTGTAGACAGTGCTAAGCCAGGTTCAGCGTTGGCAGCAGTACAGATGCTGTGTTTTTACCAAATAACGAAGATGGGCTTCTGCAACCTGCCCAAAAGTCTGTGTAGACACAGCTTAACTGTTTTTAGTATACAAAATTGGTTGGGGAAGGGGTGAATTCTTGCATGTGTGTATATGCCTGTTGCAATTGTAGTTCTGGATTATAATGTATCTATTCCCTTAATTACACTGAAAAGTATTATAAAGTAGTGTTGGGGGTGGAGAGACAAGACCAAGATATCCCATTGACATAACTGGGAGGAGATTTGCTTTGTCAGGATGCCCGAAGCTAATGCAGGCAGAGGATCTCTGCTTCCACAGCTTTAACTCTCCTGGTTTTACAGGGGGTTGTAATCTTGCCTTTGCATCCAGCACTTAATAAGGGTATTTTCTTCTGCAAGGTTAGAAGGTATTTATTTTTTGTAGATTTCCCAGACTCAAGAGTTTTGTTCAATAAAACAAGTCACACTGATGAAGCAAAAATTCTTATGGTTGTCTCTATACTTCTTATAGAAATATTTCTATGCCCAGAGATAAGGGGGTGCACAAGTGTTTCATTGGATTGGGACAAGCACCCGGTATCTTGCATAGCCATGAAAAACTGCCAAGAAAAGCTCTTGAGTTCCGCTTCTTCATGGTAGGATAGGGACCCTATGTGGGAAGGAGTGCCACAACCCACATTTGTGTAGACGACCTGTTATTCCAAGGAAAGAGATGCTCCAGATGGTTTTGTGGGTTCATTTCACTAAGTCAATAGTCATTTTGCTATTTTGAAAGCAATAGATAAAATGTGTGTTTCCTGAAGGTGATGCAGTGGGAGGTTGGTAGGAGGAAATCACTACTTTGCAAGCCCATAGTTTGGAAAGATTCCTTGCAAACTGTTTCATTTCCAAAACAAATTAAATATCTTCAGGTTAGCGTAAATGTATTTGGTAATCTGGTATAGGTTTTGTATAATGAAGTGGAGTATAGGAGTGGCAGAGACATTCAGTGTCTGTTCTCCCCACCTCCGAAGCCTACTGGAATATTATATTGGGCACTTGATTCTGCAGTATTTACTGTGGCTGTACAGCTATTACAGCCTGAGCTGGCCATACATGCTGTTCCTAGTGCTGTTTATTTGAGATCTTTTCTGTTAGCAGACACACGTTTAATCAACGTCTGTGTAAGTGTACAGTGGATGTGGACTATCAGTAAGTCTCCCTTTATTCGCTCTTGCAAAAATCCTACCATTTCTTTCCTTCAGACTGCTGCCTTTCAACTTAAATAACCTCAGTAATTATCATGTCAATACAGTGATGTTCCTGGTGCATTCGCGCCTTGCAGCGCTTGGGTTAGGAGTGAGCACTGTAGAGAGCTGCAAGACGGGCATTAATAGCACAGGATCAGTATGGTCTGAACTGACTAGAAGAGGCTTTTCCCTCCCTGCGCGTGTGAGCTGTCTGGTGGGGGAAGAGTGTAAAATAAAGTAATTATATTTGAGCTTCAGAAAGGGAGGCTTCCAGTCGTGTACATGTCGCTGGGTATCTCCAGCTTCTGGGTCAGTGGTCCAGTCTCCAGCTGGGGCTCACTCAACCTTAACTTAAGTCTAAATGAGTGCAGCAGTACACCGTAAAAAAATCCCTGTGCTAGACAATGAGCTGGCCACCTGCCCACATGTTTCTTCCTTTTAAAAAATGCTACCCCCCTCAAGACCTCCTTTCCCTCCCTTATGTTGTGAAAACTGGGGTTAGATTGATGGCCTCACCACGGCTGGGAGTGGGTGAGGAGAATCAGCAAAGATTTAGTCCAAGTTCTTCCCGTAGGTCTTTAATTTCACTGTAGCATGAGGCCAGGCAAAATGAGTCCTTAGGATAAATTTGCAGGGTAAAAGTGAGGTAGAAATCTGTTTCCCTCCTCTCTGAAATAACATAAAGTACTATGATAATAACTCTGCTATCGGCAGCTGAATGAAAGGCTTGCAATTACAGCACAAGAAGACCCTGACTGTGCAGAATAAAACTGTGATAATTACATCTGTCATATTTGTACTTAGTCCTCATTAAATTTCGAGAAAATCATCCAGTAGTAAATAATGTGCAATTTTTGCTTTTAAATCAGAGGTCATGAAAGTAAATGGGAATTCTGTTTTTCCTCATAGGGTGTCTGAGAGAGAAAAAAATCCCATCAACTACATTTAAAACTCAGTTTGCTTATTATTGAAGACACCAGACTGAGGAATGTCATTAGCATGACAGTTTGTTCAAACACAGCATACAGATTTCATCACCAAGAATAGACTCTGAAATTCATAATGGCATTCACAACCAGATTTACTGCTTTCATTCCATTAGGGGTTTTAAAGGAAGGATTTTAAAATTGTTTTAAATTTTAACTCAAACATGAAGATGAGGACAAGTCTACCTTTTTGATTTTAATGCTGAGATGAATGTGATTACAAAGTTCATCTACATTTGCTGGGTGTGCTTTCTTTTACAACAACAAATACACTTTTTTACTTTTAGAGACTGTCTATACTCTGTGTAATAAATACATGCATGAAATAGATTTTATGGTATTATAAACACATTAAATCTGGAAGCTACACAGTAGCTTGAATCCATACGAATTTCGAGTTCAACTTTCTTTCCATTATATTTGGTCTACATTGGATCTCATTCTGATCTCATACAATTTAGGAATATTTCAGCTGAACTCAAAGGATTTAGATCAAGGTAAACATGGTGTGAGTAAGACGCAGCATCTTTCTGTGTGGAAAGTAAGGATCTGATAAGCTGAGAGGAAAGGTAAAGGGCAGGAATGAATCGGTGCGTCATTTACGTGAGATTTCAAAATGGTCATTGATGCCTATTGACACTGTTACTTCAGTTTACAGTTTTAGAAGACTACTTAACAAGAATCCATATGGACCACTCTTAAGTCCAAATAAATAAATTTGAGGATTTACTCCAGGAATGTATTGATTTTGCTGTATTTCATCAGCATTATCAGTGACATCAAACAGCAGCATGATCTCTATCTAAAAACTCAACAATGTTCAGAGTTCTTCAGGGAATCCTTGCAAAGTGCTAGGATAAGGAAACTGCATAGTAGAACTCTGGAAAAACTAAAGGAGTAGCCTTTATTCTCTAGTAAACGAAGGCTGGAATTGTGGTCTGATATTAATTTAACAAAGGTGCAACTAATTGTGATACTGTGTTCTTTATATATGTTCCTACTTTAAGATACTGTAAGTCAACTTATATTACAAAGCCCTGTAGAAAAACACAAGTTGTGCCACTAAAGTTTTCTGTATTTTTTTCTTTTCCAACAAGAAATCTGAATGCTCCTCCTTTTTGTTTCCATTTGCTTTTGATATTGGTAGTGATGGAAATCACCACAGTCAATTGCATGGTCAGTTATAGTAATCCTTGATCCCTTTCTTTCCCTAATACAAAATCACAGAAAAATAGATTGAAACATTATCAGCAGACTGGCCTTTGTTGCACTGCAGCAGAAAACGAGAATTCCGCCATAGCAGAACAGTTGTAATAATTGCAGCTTTTTCTTTCCAAAAATGGCTGTTCGATCCAGTTCTGATGTAAGCCTTGTGAACTTTGTGCTTTGATGGGGACATAGAGGGAAAAATCTTGGTGGTTTTGAAGAATTACTATTAGGGTGATTTCTGAAAGTTGTTCTGATGTAAAATGTTAGCAAGCAGTCGATTTTTGTTTTAATACTTGATAGTATGGAGCCTGCTGCTCTCTTATTGTTCTCTGGAGAATACATTTTCTGTTTTATTTTCGTGAAGTGAGAAATCTAAGGGATCCTTGAAAGAAGATAATGACTACTGACATAAAAAAAAAGCCTTTTACTTGATCCTTGATTAGTTAGTTTAAAACCCATTACTGACTTTATTTCTTTATTCAAACTTTTGTTAACTTTGATAGATTAAGATGCCCTTGGTGTTCTTGGTGATCTTGAGAGAATAAAAAAGAACATAACAAAAACATTCAAGAACCATCCCTTGCAGTCACCTACTCACATTAAATTGAATGTGACCAGAATAGTGATTTTTCACACTTTTCTTGAAATATGTGGCCATTAAAACAGTACATATAATAGAAAATTGATGAAACCGGGAACTTTTTTTTTAAGTAGTTTAATCTTTGCTCTTATTTTTGTTCAGTTAAAGATCATTTAATAGTGTGATAGGGCTTTCTGCCATCTTCTATTTGCTCTAAGCAAGAAGAGTTTCTGCTCATAATTGTTTTCTGTGCAACACAATGTGCTTGGAATGTAATAATTGTAATTGTCTTTTGAATTATTGTTAAACTGCTGATACACTTCACTACTCTGTGCTTATTGTAATGTTTGCCACGTCCCAACAGCACCTTTGTGACAGAGGTTGATTAATGCTGAAATGCCAAGATTGGCCTATTCCTGATTTATCAGCTGAATGTTGAGAAGCATTTCCTCCATGACAGCGCTATTTGCATCATCCTTGATTTTTTTCTGCCTTTGTTTTCTAGCATGTCTACATACGAAATAATTTAGTTTAAGAAGAAATTCAGAGTAAATTATTATTTTTCTAAAGTTTGGTGTATTCATTGTCAGTTACATTTCCAAGTCAGGCTCTTGCCTGTTAGACAAGTGATACCATTTTCAGGTGGATGCAGCCTACAACAGTTTCCACTGGGAGTAGCAAGTCCTCCTCAGTGCAGGTTGATTTTTCTAAGCTAAGATTTTTAGTTCCAGCATCGGAAAACATTGAAGCATATGATTAAATCCTATAGATCTCTGTGGAATTGAAAACAAAACAACAGAAATTGTTTCAATCATAATGGAAAAAAAAAACCCCAAACCTTTAAGGCTGCCTTTGCTTAATCACATTTGCTGTTGCTTTCAGCTGTGTTTAGCTCAGTGTCTCAGTTCTTACAAAAACAAAAGTTGCCCATTTTGAAATGGTTCCTAAGGGTTTTTTTTATAATACTGCTTTCTGAAGAAAGCTAGTTTTTCCCTGATCTCAAAATACTCACAGTAGTAAATGTCCTGCTATCAGACTTGCTTTTGTCAAAAGGCAAAGAAAGCAACGTTGAAATTTGTTGTGAGCAATTGCTTGTTGTGAAGAGTTATTTGCTGATAAGAGAAGCATCTCAGTGAAGCTCAGAATAAAATGATGGTATTGTAGACATCCTGGTCAAGGTTTTTTATAACTGTGAGTGGTGAATCAGAAGTAAGCTTTTATTCTAAATGGATTCAGTGACTTCATTTTACCTGTGTTGTGTTGTCATGGAGAGTTTTAATATTAAGTCCAGCTTAATTATACATCAGAAAATTAGAAACATAAAAGTGTTCTTCTCCTTTTTGCAACATTCATCATATTGTTGTTCTGTTAGAGTAACTTACATCTGTTCTTTTATGGTTTTTCCCTCTTTTATGTTGCACATAATTATGAGGTGCCTTCTTTTACGCTGACATGTACCATCACTGAAAATTTTGCTAGGCTATGAATAAATTCAGTAGATGCTTGTTAATGCAAATGTGACTCACATTCATTCTTATTCAGATCTTTACTTATAGAACAGAGTCGTGTATTGGGACAAATTCTGCCTTCAGCTACATGGGTACAAGTTAACTCTCGCCGACTTCAGTGTCACTGAGTCACACCCACACATCTGAGAGCTGAACTGGGTCTCTTTTCTTTATGTTCAAAGTTTTGTCTTGCCCAGTTCAGGGTTAGAATGAGTTTGTTTGTTTTTTAATCCTATCAGCAGATCTTCTTTTTCAGCAGAATGGGTCCTAAGATTTAGAACCAAGAAAACCACCCATCAGTTCGAAAACATTCATTGTAACACCCTAATCCTATTTACTCTTGATGGCTTTGTTTCTTAGATTCTTTATTTTTTCTGCTCAGTGAATTTTCTGCTCCTTGAATTAAATGTAATAATTAAGGTCTTTAAGCAGAACTTCCTCTATTGAGGCCAAATCCATGCATTTAGATAAATCAGCTAACCAGAAAAAGCCAGAAACTGAATTTGTTCCCCATTTTTGCTGTTTTTTAGTTACATGTGCCCTTGACTGGCACGGTGGAAATGGAGAACATATTTAGATGTGTGGAGCATTCTTAACACTCAGTGTAGAAAAATGTTTCAAATGGCTCCTAGGTTGCTATGAAACCACGAGTACTGATCTCAAATAAATGCCTTTGTCAACCACCATAAATGATCTTACGCTGCATGTTGAGGACATAGGACATTGCTCATCATGTGTGCTGATATTCGTCTGGTAGCATCAGTCTTTTGTGGAAAAAGTTCTCCTCTGAGCTTAAAAATAGAAATAAAATTCTTTGCTTGCCAATAAAGGATGGAGGGACATGACAGTTCTTTAGGAAGTCCCTTGTTTCTGCCCTCACATACTTTCTGCCTCTAACACAGCAAGGGATTTTCTTTTAAATAAACCCAGTCTGTGTTCTTTTTCCTTATTCCAGATGGACCATGACCCCCGAAACCCTGCATATATTGCCACCCAGGGCCCTCTCCCTGCTACTGTCGCTGACTTCTGGCAGGTAGGTTAAACATCTGTTTGAAAACTGAATTTATGTTACCAGTCAAATGTTTTCCTGTGCTTCTAGAAATGTAAGGTGTATAAAAATATGTTGTGGTTGAGTCACAATAGGTGGAAAAACCTTCATTCAAATGTCTTTTTTAAAATCTAGTACGTGGATATTCAAGTGATTTATGTATATGACAAGCCCTCCTAAGGAAGAGTTGATCTGGAAATTACGTTGAAAACCTCAGGCCAAAGTATGCATATTTTAGTGCCAGGTCTCTGTAATTAAACTACTGCCAAGGACTGGATGATTTTCAGAGGGCCTGACCTTCTTAAGAGTGTAGCCAGAATTCATTGTCACTCTCCAGATCAAAAAGGACCTAACACTATGTGCCATGAATTTTTCCACTGAAACCTACTTCTCATATGTCCCAGTTCCCCAAAATGCTTAAATTCTTATGTATTTTCCCTACCACAGGTAGCTGAGTTAAAGGCTGAGTTAAGACCCTGCTGCATAAAGTTAAGTAGGTGCATAATTTTTTGCAGGATTAGGGCTAAAGGCAGTAGTTACTGATGCACAAATATGAGCTTACTTTGCATGCAGTGTTTTTTATATGCTAGTGCAGCTCTCAGATTTGGACATACACACACCGCCAGGCTAGGTGTGTGCGATTGTGTGACAGATATGCTGCTTTAGATATTCCTTTGTAAGTGTAAAAGTGTGCCTGAAAGCTTACTGAAGCTGTTTGGGGAGGAGGCCGACTGGGGCTTATTATCAACACGAGCATGTTTTTATTTTTTGTTTTGCATTATGAATTTAGAAACATTTGTTCTGAAGATAAAGAATATCTATGTAAAAATTTCAGAAGTGCCATTGTATTTTAGGAGCTTGCATCAGTTGAAACCATCATTTCTCTTCATCTGCATCACTCGGTCTATGATTAGAAAGTGTTAACTGATCCTTATTGAAGACGCTTTTCCCTACTGTTTCTGATGAGGAATCGGGACATTTTCAAAACATTTGCTTGATTTTGGTTGCCTGGATATTTAAATGCTCGGTCTGAGATATTTTGGGGCTGGTTTTTAGAAGTTCAGAGCAAATGCTTTCTGCTTGAAGTCAGTTGAGCTGTTGGTCTGGCTTAAATTTTCCAGTAACTTGTGATTTTTGTCTTCACTATTTGGTAGTTAGACACAATTGAGAATACTGATCTTTTTTCCCTCGGCAGGTGGATTCCTTATAACAGGCATGATACCTGAAAATGTGTTCCTTAAGTTAAACATGCAAAACCATGTTAGCTATTCTGTAATGATATTTTATGATTCCTAAGGCCCAGGTTTTTTAATTGTATATTTTTGCATATTTGTATATTTATATTTTGTATATTTTCACCTGTAACTGCACCTTCACATCCTGAAAAAATGTAGGTTCTCATTTTTAAAGGAGGCATTTAAAGAACACACTTTTTATAAGCATTGCTGCTGACACAGAAATCAGAATTAATCATACAAACATAGTATGAAGGGTATATTTTGTTCTTCTTCCATTCTGATTTGAGCAATTAGGCAACCTGTTTGCAGAGACACAGAGACTAGAACTGAAACATCATTTCTTTGTTCTGTGATCCAATCTTCTTCATTCCAGCTTCGTACACAAAAGGTCTCTGTCTTGACTTTCTTTCTTCATGCTTTTTGTGAGTGGAGAGTCTTCACTTTCCTTCACTCTCCTTCTGCTCTTTTTAGCTATTTCTCCTCCCAGTTAACCATCAGTGAAAGTTCACTCCATCTTCCCACGAGATTTGCTGTAAACATCTCTACAGAAACCATTTGGCAACTGTGGTTCAGCTTCTGCTCAAGTGTGTCTATGTCTCCATTTTTGATGTGATATTCTTTTATTGTTTCTTCTGTTAGGTTCCATAGAACAGTTTGTTTCTTACATTTATTTTGATGATGCCTGTCACTTCAACATAACAATCTACCTATGTCAGATTGGTCCATCACCCACTTTTCTTAAACTTGAACTTCCTACAGATGACATGTCAATGTGCCGGTTCCTGTCACAAGCTTTTTACATGGCCCAGGGTATCAACCAGGTGTAATGAACAGGCCAGGAGAGATTAACTCCTTACAGAACGCTGCATCCATAACCACTGAAATGTAGTAGGTCTGTTGTACAAGTCAAAAGCCATGGCTTGACGTTGTTGTGGTTTATGCCCAGATGCAGGAGCAAAGTTTATATCCATTTTTCACCTAATAGTACCTATTTTAAGGTAGAGCATGGGAAACCTGAACTTGCTATGGAAAATAGAGTATTAACTCCTGTCAGGGCAGAATCCTTTGATGTTTACTTGAATACAATTTTCTGTAGTTTATACAGACCATAGTGCTGCCACTAGGGATTGTTTAAAGATTCAATTATTCATTCCTGATACATCTTCTCAGTGATTCTCCTCCCTCTCCCTCCTCCACTTAATACCAGCTGTTGCTGAGCTGTGTTGCTTTTTTCCCCTTTTGTGTGCTCAGTGAAGCAGTTTTTTGACTGATAGTGAGAAGAGTGACTGAGTCCGGAGAGACCTGGGACTATTCTGCTGTTCCTTGTCTAAATGCACAATGTCATGCTTTAGCAAGTCCAACAGAAATTCTTGGAGCTTGGCATCACCTTCTATGGCAATATTTACTAGATGTATTGCTTCCTATTTTTGCAGAGACTTAGCTGGTAAGACTCCCAAGAGCCTAGTTGCATGGTGGGCATCAGCCACTCCATTTTATCTTGGCTGAAAGGCTACGCCAGCAAGAAACAGCTATAATTGTTTCCACTCCTATAGGCATTTCAAGCTGATTTCTAGAAAACACTTGCTGATACCCATAGTGAAATCCAAACTGCTCCTGATTTGTCCTGACTGTCTAGTTTTCGTGCTCAAATTCCAGAGACACAGTTTCTAAACCTAGTTTCCCTTAAACTTGCATTAGATTCTTCCACCCATCAGTGACTATGTCTACATTAGCAAGCAGTATGGCCCACTAGGAATGGATTTGTAGAGTGTCACACTACTTACTTTGTAGGTTTTACTTCAGGCTAACTGTTCTCCAGCGGACCAAATGCCTGTTGGTGGGGGAGAGGACTACAGATGCGTCTGGAGGAAGCTTGTTCCAAAAGGAACTCAGTTCCTGAGCTCTAACGCTGCTCTGCTGTGCATGTCTGTCATCCACATGATTACATGGTCACATCCATAATCTCTCTTTAAGACCAAACAGATGATTTGGTCTGGAATAATCTTTTTTCCTAGTTTTATTGGCAGGCCCCTCTAAAACCTGTTACGTTGATCCAGTGCCCAGTATTTTTGTGCAAGTGCTATTAGACACTTAGCAATCAAATTCCCATTTACTGTTTTCACGTTGCCCAGATCTGAACAAAGATCATGGTCAGCTCAGTGTCTTCTCTTTCCCACACTGGGCAGAGCTTTTCCGTAAAAGATTGATGATGCTTTGTCCTGGCTCAGCTTGTTTAGAAGATCCATGCCTAGTACCACTATGGGACTGGAGGGGGACCAGTTTCAATCATCTCTCTAGTGACCACTTCTTGGAAGATTATATCCTTTTTGGTAAGGTGAGGAAGAAGAGCAGGTATTGTTCTTCAGTACCATCTAGCTTGAGCCACTAGAGCTGGCTATTAGACTCAGCATTTTCTGTACATCTTTCTATTCATTTGGGTTTTCATTTTGGCCTGAGAGAGATCAGCTTGGTGGAAGCTTTTCTTTCAAAGATGCAGTCTGGAGATAGTCCAAACTCCTGTATATTGGTCATTTTCAAATGGTGTTCAGATTTGTATATGTTGTAAAAATAATAATGATAAAAAAGGCAAGAATCTTACTCTGGCTTTTCTAATGGCGTAAGACACTTCCAGGCATCAGACTTCCACAGTTGTCTGTGTCCCTCCAGTTTACTTCCCCAGCTCCTTATATTCTTGGCATAGCTCCTCTAAGTCAGCAAGTGCCAAGTTAGTTCCAACTTTCCTGGCTTACCTATTTCTTTGAAAACTTTCTAGCCTGCAGGAGTTGTGTTGTCAGTCATCTCATTGATCTGTTTTGCCACAGGGCTTCCTAATCTGTCTGGATACTCTGTGTTTGTGGCTCAAGCAGAGATTTCATCTCTGCCTGCATGTCATCTCTTAGACCACTCTGGAAATTTTCCAGCTACTACTTTAATTAATTTTGAAAAGCCTCCAGCTGATTTAAGTCTTCTTTTAATTTCATCTCGTCTTGTTTTCGTCTCTTTTTACCAATTACTTTTTCTGAGAGATACCTCCTTCATTGATTCTATTTCGGTTCAGTGGGAATTCCACCTCACGATTCCCTTTCTTGAAAACCGGATGCCTCTCCTCACATGGTATTAATCCATTTTTACCTGAGTGGTTAAACAATTTGCCAGGTCTGTGGGTTGTTTTCTTCTCAGCTGGAAAGAGAATTCATCCTCAGGATAGGGTTTTGCTTTGATATAGTTCCATTTTATTTACAAAGAAAGTACAGAGTTTTATTTCCTTGAACAAAGGCAGAATCAAATAACAGGCAATAACTTCTTTTTTTCCAAACCTCATTTCCAAACCAGTGTTTTACCCCCAACCTCTCTTTCAGCTTTTCTTCTACCAGGATCACAATGCTAGTTTGTTGAGCTGTGGTGGTGGTTTCTTTATTCCTTTTACACATTTTTGCTGCTTATCTGGATTAATCATCTTGCCTTGATTAATGCCTCTCTCTCTGCATTAAGCATATCAGTTTCTAGAGAAACTCATGGGTCCATATGCCTCACGTTTCTCTTGTTTTTGATGATAACTTCTGTAATTTCAGTTATCAGGCTCTATAAAAGAGTTTGCTTGTTTCTTACATTTATCTTGAATGAAAGGTGATGATTTTGTCCAGCAGCTTCAGTGAGATTTCACTCAGCTCTTTCACATAATGCTATTAAAATTCAACATCACTTTGAACATAATTCAAAAGAAAGAGGATGTAGAACATTTCTGAT